GGGAATGGAGGATGGACGGGCGGGAATGGAGGATGGACGGGCGGGAATGGAGGATGGACGGGCGGGAATGGAGGATGGGCGGGAGGGAATGGAGGACGGGCGGTTGTAAATCATACAGGGTAACTGGAACCAAAACTTGCAGAGCCCAAAAGCCCCCAGTCATTTCATTCTGAATTCCCCAAGTATGGCACAGTCAGGTCAAACCAGAGGAGATGGGTTAGGTCAGACCCCTGGGGGCAAAGGTCAGATCAGAGGAGATGGGTTAGGTCAGACCCCTGGGGGCAAAGGTCAGATCAGAGGAGATGGGTTAGATCAGGGGTAGCAAAACTCCGGCCCTCCAGCTGGGGGTGAAACTACTAATCCCATGATGCATCTCTCTCCGGGAGTCGTGACTGTGAGAACCTTGCAATGCCTTATGGGATTTGTAGTTCCACATCAGCTGGAGGGCTACCCCTGGGTTAGATCGTAGCGGTCGGGTCAGATTAGAGTGATTTAGGTCAAAGATGAGGGGTCAGACATCAAATCAAAGGAGATGTGTTAGATCAGAGCTGTGGGATCAGAGGTCAGAGCTGTGGGATCAGAGGTCAGAGCTGTGGGATCAGAGGTCAGAGCAGAGCTGTGGGATCAGAGGTCAGAGCAGAGCTGTGGGATCAGAGGCCAGAGCAGAGCTGTGGGATGAGAGGTCAGAGCTGTGGGATCAGAGGTCAGACTGAAGGAGATGGGTTAGAGCAGAGATGAGGGGTCAGAGGTCAAATCCAAGGAGATATGTGTTAGAGCTGTGGGGTCAGAGGTTAGATCAGATGGTTAATTTAGAGCGGTAGGGTCAGAATTCAGATCATAGCTGTAGGGTCAGAGGTTTAGCTCAGAGCTGTCAGGTCAAAGGTCAGGTCAGAGGAGATGGGTTAGATAAGAACTGTGTCATCTGCCGGGATGTGCAGAGCTGTGTACACCTCAGGAAAGGATGGACTGATGGGTCAGACGGATGGGTTCTGATTGGTTGGTCTATCACACTCTCTGACCAATGACACAAGTCGCGGCAGGGGAAGTCAGGGAGCGGGAAGTCAGGGCGCGGGAAGTCAGGGCGCGGGAAGTCAGGGCGCGGGAAGTCAGGGCGCGGGAAGTCAGGGCGCGGGAAGTCAGGGCGCGGGAAGTCAGGGCGCGGGAAGTCAGGGCGCGGGAAGTCAGGGCGCGGGAAGTCAGGGCGCGGGAAGTCAGGGCGCGGGAAGTCAGGGCGCGGGAAGTCAGGGCGCGGGAAGTCAGGGCGCGGGAAGTCAGGGCGCGGGAAGTCAGGGCGCGGGAAGTCAGGGCGCGGGAAGTCAGGGCGCGGGAAGTCAGGGCGCGGGAAGTCAGGGCGCGGGAAGTCAGGGCGCGGGAAGTCAGGGCGCGGGAAGTCAGGGCGCGGGAAGTCAGGGCGCGGGAAGTCAGGGCGCGGGAAGTCAGGGCGCGGGAAGTCAGGGCGCGGGAAGTCAGGGCGCGGGAAGTCAGGGCGCGGGAAGTCAGGGCGCGGGAAGTCAGGGCGCGGGAAGTCAGGGCGCGGGAAGTCAGGGCGCGGGAAGTCAGGGCGCGGGAAGTCAGGGCGCGGGAAGTCAGGGCGCGGGAAGTCAGGGCGCGGGAAGTCAGGGCGCGGGAAGTCAGGGCGCGGGAAGTCAGGGCGCGGGAAGTCAGGGCGCGGGAAGTCAGGGCGCGGGAAGTCAGGGCGCGGGAAGTCAGGGCGCGGGAAGTCAGGGCGCGGGAAGTCAGGGCGCGGGAAGTCAGGGCGCGGGAAGTCAGGGCGCGGGAAGTCAGGGCGCGGGAAGTCAGGGCGCGGGAAGTCAGGGCGCGGGAAGTCAGGGCGCGGGAAGTCAGGGCGCGGGAAGTCAGGGCGCGGGAAGTCAGGGCGCGGGAAGTCAGGGCGCGGGAAGTCAGGGCGCGGGAAGTCAGGGCGCGGGAAGTCAGGGCGCGGGAAGTCAGGGCGCGGGAAGTCAGGGCGCGGGAAGTCAGGGCGCGGGAAGTCAGGGCGCGGGAAGTCAGGGCGCGGGAAGTCAGGGCGCGGGAAGTCAGGGCGCGGGAAGTCAGGGCGCGGGAAGTCAGGGCGCGGGAAGTCAGGGCGCGGGAAGTCAGGGCGCGGGAAGTCAGGGCGCGGGAAGTCAGGGCGCGGGAAGTCAGGGCGCGGGAAGTCAGGGCGCGGGAAGTCAGGGCGCGGGAAGTCAGGGCGCGGGAAGTCAGGGCGCGGGAAGTCAGGGCGCGGGAAGTCAGGGCGCGGGAAGTCAGGGCGCGGGAAGTCAGGGCGCGGGAAGTCAGGGCGCGGGAAGTCAGGGCGCGGGAAGTCAGGGCGCGGGAAGTCAGGGCGCGGGAAGTCAGGGCGCGGGAAGTCAGGGCGCGGGAAGTCAGGGCGCGGGAAGTCAGGGCGCGGGAAGTCAGGGCGCGGGAAGTCAGGGCGCGGGAAGTCAGGGCGCGGGAAGTCAGGGCGCGGGAAGTCAGGGCGCGGGAAGTCAGGGCGCGGGAAGTCAGGGCGCGGGAAGTCAGGGCGCGGGAAGTCAGGGCGCGGGAAGTCAGGGCGCGGGAAGTCAGGGCGCGGGAAGTCAGGGCGCGGGAAGTCAGGGCGCGGGAAGTCAGGGCGCGGGAAGTCAGGGCGCGGGAAGTCAGGGCGCGGGAAGTCAGGGCGCGGGAAGTCAGGGCGCGGGAAGTCAGGGCGCGGGAAGTCAGGGCGCGGGAAGTCAGGGCGCGGGAAGTCAGGGCGCGGGAAGTCAGGGCGCGGGAAGTCAGGGCGCGGGAAGTCAGGGCGCGGGAAGTCAGGGCGCGGGAAGTCAGGGCAGGGCAGACTGAAGGAGATGGGTTAGAGCAGAGATGAGGGGTCAGAGGTCAAATCCAAGGAGATATGTGTTAGAGCTGTGGGGTCAGAGGTTAGATCAGATGGTTAATTTAGAGCGGTAGGGTCAGAATTCAGATCATAGCTGTAGGGTCAGAGGTTTAGCTCAGAGCTGTCAGGTCAAAGGTCAGGTCAGAGGAGGTGGGTTAGATAAGAACTGTGTCATCTGCACTGAAGGAGATGGGTTAGAGCAGAGATGAGGGGTCAGAGGTCAAATCCAAGGAGATATGTGTTAGAGCTGTGGGGTCAGAGGTTAGATCAGATGGTTAATTTAGAGCGGTAGGGTCAGAATTCAGATCATAGCTGTAGGGTCAGAGGTTTAGCTCAGAGCTGTCAGGTCAAAGGTCAGGTCAGAGGAGATGGGTTAGATAAGAACTGTGTCATCTGCCGGGATGTGCAGAGCTGTGTACACCTCAGGAAAGGATGGACTGATGGGTCAGACGGATGGGTTCTGATTGGTTGGTCTATCACACTCTCTGACCAATGACACAAGTCGCGGCAGGGGAAGTCAGGGAGCGGGAAGTCAGGGCGCGGGAAGTCAGGGCGCGGGAAGTCA